CGCAGAGCGGGGTCGGCGGATAAGTAGCTTCCATTTTATTGTCCAATATCCCAATATAACCCAACATATACCCTGTAATCCCCCTCCATAATCCCTGTAGTTTTCATTTTCTTTCCCATTATCCCAATATAACCCCATGTATCACCCCAATGGTTTCTAATAGATGAAGCTTCACTCTAAACCCTAAACCCTAAAGCCTAAACCAATCTACAGGTGATAGCGGCCTTCGATTTCTTCGAGAGGAAGATCCAGGAGCGCGGCTACGAACTCCTACTTGCAGGGTCAGGAGGACGTACTTGGAGAGTGAAGGGGACTTAGTAAGTAGGTTAATATAGTAATAATGGAAAAGAACATGGAAACTACTATAGTATATAGGTTTCGGATTTAGGGTTTAGGGTCAGGAGGACGTAGTAAGTAGGTTGGTTAATAAGCCCTATACTGTAGCCCATATAGTAGTCTTAGCTATCCCCCTTATTAACGTACTTATTACGTCCCCCTGACACTCCAAGTAGGGGTGTCAGGAGTTGCTTCAGGCCAACATATACCCTATAATTTAGGGTTTAGGGTTTAGGGTTTAGGGTATACCCTTAATCCCTGTATAATCTCCATCATCTCTGTAGTTCCCTTTTTCTTTTTCCATTATCCCAATATAACCCCTAATATGAGACCCTAAACCCTAAACCCATCCCCTAATATAACTCCAATGGTATGCATGAAGAGGCCGAAATCAAAGCTGAGAACATCACGGACCAGGACGAAATCGATATGCGGGAGCAGAATTTAAATCCGGTGAAGGTGATGTCCTCCGGCTATGAAGGACCTCAAATGAGTAGTATGTTATTTGGAGATATTATGGTACCCAATATAGAGGAAGATTCTATCCTCCTTTTGAGGTATAGTATTTTATATAAGGAATATAATCTTACTGGGTTCAACCACCAAAAAAACGCTACTCAAATGTGAGTGCAGTGGCGATCTCTTTCACCACAACTCCTTCTCTGCAGCTGCTGCTGTTCCTGCTCTTGCTAGCAGGGCTACTGCTGCGACTACTGCCTGTGCAACTGCACTGCAGCACTACTGTTGAGGTGCTGCAGCAACTACTCCTGCCAAAAAGAAGCCCAAAAGCAGTAATACTTGTCAAAAGTACTGTTTTTATCACTCTTGATAGCGTTGGTGGTTAGACTTGATTCATGTTTTTAAGCTGCTGGCATTGACTCCTGATTTATGTTTTTTCGTCCCAATCTTGAGCCTAAATAGTGTAATCCGTATCATGGAGACCCTCGACAAGGGGACCCCTTACACTTTGGAAGCTCCCTAAACCCTAAACCCTAAACCCTAAACCCTAAGCCCTAAACCCTAAACCCTAAACCCAGCCTTTCCAGGACGGGCTCCTGAGCCCTTCTTTGCCGGGGGCAAGATGCGAACGCTGCAGCGTCTCAAGTGGTGGGAGACCTACGAAGCGAAGGACAACAGGCGAGGGGCGCTTAAAGGATTGCTCAACGGACATCAAGCACATGTGCAGTCAGCATGAACGCAAACGTGTCGTGAGAGCCAGTTCTCCGGAAGATCGGAGACTGATCTTTACAGCCCTGAGCCCTAAATAGTACTGTACTTCTCTTTTTCTTTTCCATTATCCCTGTATGAGCTATAGTCTAAACTCCCTTAATAACCCCTATAATACTCCCCTATGTATCCCCACTTTAAGACTATAGCTCATATAACCACCCTAAACCCTAAACCGTACAAAAGTGTGGTATCCGCAGGCTGGTAGTCATTGGTCACTACTGGCGCCGCTTTCTGGATGAGGTGAGCCCTAAGGTCTTGGAAAAGTACCCGTACCTCAGCGCAAGGGCATAGCCATGCATGCTGATTTAGGGTTTAGGGTTAAGGGGATTATGGTGTTTAGGGTTTAGCGTTAGGCTTTAGGGGTTCGGGAGCCCACTTTTGAAGCCTCGGATTGCTGAGGAAAGGCTTCGCTCCGTCGGGCGAGGACTGAAAGCTACTTCCAGCGTCTGGGGACTTGGCGAGTTAATTAAGAAGGCCAAGGGGGATAACCAGGGTTACTATAGGTTGTAGGGCTCATTAAACTACTTACTAAGTCCCCTGACCGTCCAAATAGGAAAGCCTGTTGCGTTCTGAAATGCTTGCTGATGTCACCATTACTTGTAGTATCCTTAGGATTTTTTATTTCTACTATAGTATAAGCCTACGGCATTTGAAAAAACGTTACGTACATTCTGATTACAGATTATATTGTGCTACTGTTATTATGAATATGACTAGTACTATTAATGTTTTTTGTTTCTCTTCTAGTATAACCCCGAGGCATCTAGAAAAAAGTTACGTAAATTCTGATTACATATTGTATTGTGCTACTGTTATTATGAATATGACTAGTACTAT